AAAGCGGTTATACTTTCATTATACAGGTTAGGCCACATTTGGAATATTGTGTTCAATCTTGGGCTCCTTACCTTAGAACAGATATTGAATTGTTGGAAAGGATTCAGAGAAGGGTTCCTATAATAGTGCCTGGGATGGAGGGGTTGACATACCATGAGATGTTGAAATCTCTCAAACTGTTTTCTCTTGAAAAAAGAAGAGTTAGGGCGAGGGGATCTCATTGAGGTGTTTAACATTGTAAAGGGAATTTATAGTGTTCATGCATCATCTTTCTTCATACTTAACAGTGAGAATAGCAGGACTAGGGGACACATATAAATTTTAGCAGGGTAGGAGTCATCTTCAGTTAAGAGAGTTTTATTTTTCTAACAGGGTGGTTGGCCTTTGGATGTTGTGGAAGCAGTAAATTTAAGTGAGTTTAAGAGAAAGCTTGATAAATATATGAATGATAAAGGCTGGCTTTAAGATTTTTTTGTAAATTAATTTATTAATAGTTTTAGTTTAGTTTAGAGAATGGAACAGCCAAGATGGACCAACAAGTCACATGTTGTTCCAAAATGTTCCATTATGAAAACTATTATAAAGTATTCTGACATGGGATTTACATAGTCTCTAAAGAATTATACTTTAGGGTTGAATGTTTACTATGAATTATCAAAACATAGTTATTAGTATTTGCCCTCTGGATTAAAAAGCAGATTGTCATACTAATTAGTAATTATTCACGTCAATATGTTAACTTCTGTTGTTTTTACCACTTTTCAGGTGGATTGCACGTTGGCAGAAGCTAATTACAAAGTCAACGATAACTTGTTTGCAGAAGGAAAAGTAAAATTCGAAACGGAACGACCCAAACCACCTTCTTCATTTCCAGTAAAGCTTAACGCCAATAGAACCAGTGTTCCTTACGGTCGTACACCAGGTTTATCTATTCGGAAACACAAGACTCCCTTTCATATACCGGCTGATGGCAGTCGAGGGCGTTCACAAATAGTTTTTCAAAATGGACCATACCCAAAAAGAGTGAGAGTTCATGACTCGCATAGGAAGTGTGCTGGTTGTATGACATTCTTTATTCGAGATGGTGCACAGTGCACACCTTGTGTTTGGCCAAGATGATTAAAATTTTACTGTACCATATAGACCACGGTGGTTATGTTGCTTATACAAGTGCCTTTTCAAAACCCGCTAAGCAACAATAACCTGTTTGTAACGTTTGAAATTGTTTAAAGGTATTAACACAATTTTAAGTAAAAGTCAATCATTTTATGTTAATCCTTGAAGAATAAATAGTGTATGTTAAATTGATATTGGTATTAAAGGTTGCGTTACCAGGTCATATTTAAACAAACAAGACTTAATGAATGCTGTGTATAATGATCATATGTCTTGAACAATAACTTGATTACACCACTAGTGCTTCAAATGTTAATTTTGAAAGCGTTGTCAGAAATATTTAATTATAGAAACGAAGTAGATTACAAAATAATTGATATATATTTGATAGTTGTACGAATCTCACAGCTGACTGTGGTAGGTTACAAAATAACTGATAGATATTTTATACTTGTACGATTCTCACAGTTGACTGTTTTACATTCCACTTCACAAAACATTGCTCATGATAGAGCAACCGTCGTGGTTCTGGTGTTCATCTTGTTACAGCGAATATGTCAATAACAACAGTAACAAACTAGTGATCTCTAGAGTAAGCAGGATTGAACCTGTATGTAAAACGTACTGCTTACTACGATGTCAATAAATAAAAATCGCTTATCTTGATGATTTAACTTGGGTATTGTTCTTTATTCTAAGGTATCAAAACAAAACTAGACAAGTGAATGTTTTATACGATTGTCCAAAGTCAGCATAAAATTTTGGTAATGAATAAAATATGCGAGACATTTCATCTTTATATATTGAAAGTAGCTTATAAGAACATTTAAATTACATTTATACAAGTTGAATGTTACGCTGTAGTACATAAGAAAAGTTACTTCTCATGTGAACTTTAAAACTAGTGTCTAGGAAGTACATGGAAGGTAAAGATATAACTTGCAGTCTCATTGCACAGTTACTTTACTTACATTTTGTTCTAGTATTTCAATAAACATGACAGAACATTCGAGGCGTTAGTTGAATTTGAAAGATCAAAGTAAAATACATCTTTTCTCTGAAATGAAAACTGATGGCATGCACCTTCTATTCATGCTAAGTATACATAGGGCAGAGTTCAGTGTTCTATTAGAATTCGTGCGGAGTACATGTCTGGAGGAGATCTATATTCTATTGGAAATAACATTTAGGGCAGGGTTCTGTGCGCTACTACGAGTCATACCAACTACATGTGTGGCTTCATTTTCTGCTAGAGCTAATGCTAAGTACACCAGAGTGGGGGTTCTATGATCTATCTAGAAGTAATTGTTAGTGTTAAATTTATAACATAATTGGTATGGATTTTTTTTATTCCAAGGAATCCTAATATTAACATGTAAGAAAACCCATAATCATAATGATAAAAATAGTTCTACCATTATTAGATATTTATATGTTCCTTACATAAAACTAATCTGCATGAATTTCACATTAACTTCAGCTTCCAGTAGCAACAGTGAGATTGCTTACTTGTCAAATATGTATTATTACTGTTTAGAGAAACACATCGTTATTGTTCCAAGTGAGTAATTAGACTAAGTACGTACAAGTTTCCAATTTTCACAAATGCTGACATAAAATTAAATACTTTATAATAAAGAACCTTGTTATGTATATTAAAAAGAAAAACAACAAGAGACATTATTTACACCAACATAGATAAATAGGCTTTATTATATATACATGGAATTTACAAAAAATTGTATTTAGAACTATTTTTCTTTGTGTATTAAATTACCTCAAGATTCACACACACAGGCACACAAAGAATACGTAATTCACAAACCAAAAAATATTTACAAGTTTGAAAATGACTCGCTTGTTTTAATGATTACCCACCCTCCTTGTGGAGCAAAACATGGTTCAAAATTTCAACATTAATGAAAAAGTTAAACTCCCACAATATGCTTCTCACCCAAAGAACAAATAATAGCTGTGCATAATTCAATTCATTCCTTTATGGATTCTGCGGACTCCTTGTGTCTCAAAACAGGAATATTTTCTACTTAAGTGTTGAAGTTCCATATTCTGGTTTATTGAAATAGTTTCATACATGACCCAAGTAAACTTAATGGTTGTGTAAAATAAATAATAGGATACATAAAATTCTGGATTCTGGTAACTAATTACCCAGTAGCAGACTATTCAATTGAATAAATTACTCACTTTGTTGACATACTTCCAGTGGTATATAATAAATTTTGTTCCACCTGTTAATTCTAAGGTCATTCCAACAATTTTCAATTTTATCTGAATTTGCTGGATTTAAATATTCAATACACGCTACAACTTTTTATAAATTCAAAAATAAGTTAATTTGTTCTTAAAGATGTATAAGATAAAATTTATTGAAAACAGAAAACCTACTTCAAATTTGAAATTTTCAATAGTACTAGCACTAATCATTTGTTCTTTTCTCTTGTTTGTAGAGGGAGAAAGGTCAATCTGATATAACTTACATTTCATTATTTCTACCTTCATCTGCATAATAGTTTTTGAACTAAAGATTTTTTTTTTTTTGACTGTCACACCAGAAGGAAGTGCTAATGGAAGTACATAAACCAAAACGTTTACAGATACAGTGACAAACTTCAGTTCCTGCTAATCCCTTTCATCAGAAGCATGTCTTGTCACTTCATGAATTACCATGCAGAAAGATTTACTTTATGAAAAAGTATTGAAATGAAAAAAAGGATCGTAATTATGACGAAGGTGTTCCTTAACATATTTATGAGAACAAAAATAGCATGTTATCTAGTCTTCCAAATAAACAATTCGTAGCTAGATTTGTATCAAACTTAGTGACAAAGTTCCTAGAGAATATTGTTCTGGTACACAGATGACATCACAAAATATGCAGAAAAGTCAAACTACAGATTTTCAGCAGCCAGAACAATTCATAAAAAATTACTGAAGATAAGGTTATTTAAGTTAAGAAAACCAAAATACAATCTTATTTACTATATGCATTCATTGTTTAAAAATTTTTATGAATGAATCTTTCCAAAAGTAAAAGTAATCTCCCATGTAATCTGAGTATTTTCACTTTTGACAAAACTAGTTAACGAAGATTTTACAAAAACGTAACCTTTTTCTGCAGGTTTTTGACTTTTCAAATTAAACATGTACAAAGAAGTATGCAAAATTAGATATATTGCTGTTCAAAGTGTCAATATAAGCTGTATTTTCAATACAGAATATTTTTATTTAATTTAGGCCTTGCACCACACCAGCTAATAATAAAACTAGACTTCCATGGAACATGATGGTAAATTATGTTTTAAAGCAACTGAATTTTCTCAGTTTCTATTTCATGGGACCAGTTTTTGAGATACTTCTTAATACAACAGTAGGAAAGATGAATCAAACAATAATAGATAAAAATGAAAAGTACAAGTTTCCAAAATAATAAGGGTTATTGCTTTTAGAATTTTTTTTTTATAAACATAGGAAAAACGTACACCTAGTTTCTGATATAATACTTTTGATATGTTCCAACAGTTGTAATACCAATACTAGCAACAAATTTGTAAAAAAAACATTTGGTGAAAAATCATATAGATTTTTTAAAAAGTGCTTATATCTGTGTCATTATTTTTGAATATTTGTCCAGTTAAATGTGATGAAAAGAACTACCAAAGTAAACAATTTTCTCTTACACAGGGACAAGAAATACATAATTCTTTGCAAAAATATTAACGCATGTAATATCTGACTCTAAGGTACTTTTGACACAAGTCCTTTAGCTTTGTGTTCAGTTATCTGAAATTTTTCCGACATTTATGCAGATGTTCTTTGTTCACAACCACTAATTCAAAAGGCCAATGAAAAAAAATACCACAACAGATGTGTTAGCCTAACATGCTCATTTACATAAAGTTCAGAACTGCCCTCTTTTTTTTCTTGGGAAATTTTTCATCAGGTTAATAACATTAATAGGGACAGCTGAACTCAATAAAAACACTGAATGAAATGTAATAATTGAGGATGACTCCTGCTATGCTCTCAACTAGCTATTTCATTTTGAAAAAGTTAACTGCTTCTCTTAGGTTGTTTAGTAAGTAACCAGTAAGTTTTTATATTACTTTGATATATATATATATAAACAGAGATGACCTTTTTCTATCATTATTATTAGTTTTGCTACTGAATGCCTGTTTATTAAGAATTTGTAGTTGATAAGAACTTCTACCGATCACTGTCTATTAAATCTACAAGAAAGTTCACCAAGAAAGCAAATTTTTACACAAGAAAAATTGAGTAATGAGAGAATATTTCAAAACCTTCCAAGCTGCAGTTTTTTAATTACTTCAGACTGTACCTCAAAGCTGTTATTATATTATTTGTGCAAAGACAAAAATTTGAAGTTTGCCCTTTAAATGGATAACATGCCAAACAAGAATTAACAGGAAGCTTTTGAATGAAAGAAAACAAGAGCGATTAACATTGATTTCTAAATGATATTTTAAGTAACAATTTACCGAATCAGGTTATGTGGACTATTGTATCAATATATGTGTTTCAACAGATAACTTTCTGATTATCAATCCCTTTGTAAAAACAAAATTCTTTCAGTAAAATCTTCAGACACCAAGACAAAAACTCTTTTGTTATATCTGTATGTGGCTCTTTTAATATAGCTTCAAATAACATTATTTGATATGCAAACAAATTACACTTCCAAATTTCATACTAATGAAACTGGCAACTGGGAGTTGTGTGCAAGATATAAAGAAGTCATGAAAACATTCTACTAATGTTTGTGAAAACACTTTAAACTGATGTACTACAAATAATTGATGACATTTTTAGTTTGATTTACATAAGAGAGGCCAATATGTATGATTTAAAGAGAAAAAAATGGAGAAAGTGCAAGGTTGTTCACAACCACTCTATACGTATAAAACAGGTTCATAAGAATCACAGACTTAACACAGGTTCCAGCTTCTCAACAGAGTAGATATGGAGGGCCACTGAAATTAACAAGCATTCTGTTAAGATTTTTCTCTTGAGCTCACTTGTCACAGATTTTGATGTGGTTCAGGCACCTTCACCATCTCCACACAACTGGCAAGTTTTGATCAAACTCCATGCTTCTCCATCTTCACCATACCAGGATTTCACTAACTAGTAGGTGAAAAAATGAATCAGGTTGGGAAAGACTGTGAACCCTGTGTTTGACTGTCTGACCGCCTATGTTCTTCACCTTTAACTAGTGCCTGTTGCTGAGATGCTGAGGTAATAGTGGCAGTGATTCCAGAAGAGGACAATAAAGGAAGTTTTAAAGGAAAGGCAATGGTTGGGGTTTTTAATGAACATCCTTGTCTTGCGGGTGATGGAAGATGTAACTGATTAAGCTCTGAAGAAGACAACATTTGAGTAGCAAAGACCTGCTGATACGTCTTGGTATGTGAGGGATCGGCTCGACTAGTAGTGCTAACTAACGGTAGCTTAGGAAGGGCAATTGATGATGTTATGAGAGAATGGAGTGACAAGTTCTTTGAAAAAGCTGTTGATTGTTTATTTGGACTTTTTCCTGAAATAAATAAAAATCAGAATGTTAAATGGAAGCTAACTTAAAAACTAAGTTCATCATAGGTGTAAGTGGTTCTGCCTCATATGATAAATAAATTACGTTACACACTCTTACACAAAGTATCATATGCTTAAATTTTCATGAAATAGCTTTTGATGTCTGCAATATAAATACTTCTTTAAACAATGAGATGGTTCTATGGCCTGGAGATATGTGTTTGTAAGAAATTAGTACAAGAATCTTGCAGAAGATGTGTGCAATGTAAATACAAAAATAATGTTAACAATATACTTCTCTAATGAGCCATATAAATGCATGTTTAGTAGTTTATATAACAGCACTGAAAAATATTTGAAGTCAATAACAATAACACCTATGTTAAATATATGAGTGATCCTACATTTCCTAGCAAATCATACTTAAACTACAAATATCCTCATTGTCCCTGTGAAGAAAGAACATTAAAAACCTTTTGAAATTATTCTCACATGTATTGAAAATGAACTGTAAAAAGAACAGAAACACAAAGTTGCTAGAAGAAAGGATCATGTTTCTTTTTTTCCCCTTGATTTCTTTTTCAGTTTCACCTTAACCTTTTTTTTTCCAGTATTATTTGTTTAGATTGCCCTAAAATATACTTTTTGGCCCAATTGTTTCTCTAAACTTTAGGTTATTAGTCCTACATATGCACAACATTCACTAGCCCTCTAATTTTGAACTTTGGTATTTTCCCTCCCACCATTAGATCTTAGTTAAAATTACTAATATTGCACAATGAAATTTGATTGTTATTTTCTTACCATATCGTACACTTAAGAAAGCCCTTAATATAAATTGTTCATTAACTAAGCACAAAAATTAACTTGGATTTTTATTTGAATTTCGCACAAATCTACTTGAGTACTACCTGCACTATATATCCCTAACTTTGAAAATTCAACACCACCCACCACAAATTTTTGGGCTATTCTTTACAATGAATAGTGGGATTAGCCATCACATTATAATGACCCACAGCTGAAAATGCAAGTATGTTCTAGGATGGGTTTCAATCCTGCGTCCTGCAAATTGTAAGTTGAGCACCCTAACCATCAGGCCAAATTAACATGAATGTAGGAAAGAAGACATTTAAAGATGATGTATTTAATTAATTCATAAAACATAGAAATATAATTTTGCATGATATTCCTACCTAAAGATTAAATGGACTACTCAGCAAGTGCTAATATTTAATAAAAGCTTCACAAACAGGCCAAAATTGGAAACCTCTTATGCATTATACAAGTGAAAAATCTCAAATCCTGAAATTTTTTTTACCAACATCAAAGTTGTAAAAAAAAATAAGCAGATTGATTAAATATTTTTTGAAAATGATAAATGGGAGAAAAGTTTTTTTAATTTAAAAATTCATTTTTTTTGTGGTTGTTTGAGGATTAATCAAATTTTGTAAATGTTTTACTGTGTTTACCAAGTCTTTTGAAGAATTTGAAATCAATAATGCCCGCATGAATTTACTAAAGTTTGAGAGTTTCCGGATGTGATAAAATGTGTTGTACTTCATTCTTTGTCTGTGACTGGATCCTTAGATGAAATTATTGAATTATCCTAAACTTAGAACATACTAAAGGTAAAAAAACAGTTTTTTTTTATCAATGAACAACATGCAGCTCATTTCTTTCTATATCACTTCAAACATAGTTTGTTTTGGCTTATTTCACATATTTAAACCTTTCTAGATGGAAAAAGTTTAACACTATGTGTACAATGGGATAAAAAATGTGCATGTCATGACCTTGTTACAGAGTTTCATTCAAAATGTAATTAAACAACTTTATCAGTGTACATCAATAAACTTGGCATCAAAGCATAGTTTATAATTCAACTATTAATTTACAATAGTGTAAAAATATATTGCTTCACCCAATTTTTTCACACTTTTCTTCAGAATCATCATCTGCCTTGAGGCCAACTTGCATGTAGGTGCAAATGTGTTTCATGAATGATAGAGTACTATCTAATTATTACATCAGCAGCTTTATAGGCTGTCTGGGTATTGCATCAGTTGTTTTATGGCTATAAATAGAGGTTCTTACTGAGAATCAGTTTAGAAACCTACCTACTGCAACATGCATGTGGTGCTATTATAGCCAAGGGTTGCAAGTTAACTCCACATAATAAAAGTAGTCATTATTTCTTAGAACAAAGAAGGTCTTTCAACAAGACAGATTTCTAGAAGAATTAAATTTTACCATTCGACTGTGAGCCACTGTTTTCAGAGATATATAGAGACTGGTTGTGTAGAACAGTGGAAGGGGTAGAAAGAAAGCTTCCACAATAGCTGAAAATCATGTTTTGAAAGGCATGAATGAGCCTGCAGAATTGTCAACTGTTATCCACAGATCTCAAAAGAGCATAGCAGGAAACTTCAGGGGACCCTGTCACTACATACACTATCCAGTCTCACTTGTATTCAACCAGTCTATGAACGATATCCCTCCTCACCAACAAGATGAGAAAGATGAAGCTCAACTTGACCAAAGAGCATGCTGACTGGACTGATGGGGAGCATTTTGTGAAAGACACTGTGAATGCTGATAAGTACATCGAGAGCCTCAAGTCCTAGTTAAAGTCAAGTATTCGGAATCACTTCAGTGGAGCTGACCAGTGCAAACTCCAGGATGACTACTCCATGCCACAGGGCTAAAACAAAGTTGGTAATATTCATGTACTCTATTCAGTAGACATGAAATAAAGAGGAAATTTAACTCCATGTGTGTTGAAAAGACATCTTAGGTTTTATTTCATTGCTTCAGGTGAAGGACTATCTTTGAAGATTGAGGATCAAGACACTATGCTAGCCAAGCAACACCCTAGATCTCAACCCTATGGAAAATTGATGAAAGGTAATGGGTAACGAAGTGCAAGAAAAGCACCATGGAACTGCAGGAAACCCTAACCTGCATGAGTTATCACAAACTTATCCTTGACTACATTCAGTCCCTTGTGCAATCTTTGTCAAGCAGTTATCAAGGCCAGAGGGGGCACAACCAAATACTAAAACAAGAAATAGACTCTGTTACCACTTTTTGTCAGTTACATTAATGGCATTATCTTTAAATCTAGTTTTTTACTCAGAGAACATTTCTGTATTTGTTAAGTATTTGTTGCTCATTTGCTGTAATATGTTTGTCACAGTTTGTTAATAAAGATGAATATATGTATTTGACTGACTGAAATATGAGTCAGCTTACACCACACAATGTCCATAACTTCTTTATGCTAGTTCTGACACATCCACAATGTACAATCTTGTAAAAAAATTACAGGAACCAAGAAAAGTGTGAAAAAATTGGGCTATGCAATAATTTTTTTCTCCACCACTGTAAGTTTAAATTTCTTACTCTCAAAAGGAAATATTTAAATAAATTTTCATTTTTCACTTCACTATATCACATGACTTTTTTTGCTCCAAATTGTTCATTTTAGATTTTCTTTCTACCCTTATATAATCTAAGTTTCTCACAAATTACACACTTATAATATAGGCACCCCTGAGCTGAAATGTACATTCATGGCCCCTAAGCTTCTTGCTTTACTGAGATATATGCAATAAAGTGAAACCCACATGCCACACTCCTCCTTGCACACCCTGCCTTAAAAATAAGTCAACAATTCTCTCTGATATTTGCTATTGGAGAATATTTTAATTTACTGAATTCCCGATAAGACTAGTTTATTCAGGTGACAGTTTTTGAATTATTTATTCTATCTATTTCATTTCTTGCTATTGCTGAGTTATAGCTTAGTTAGAAAGCTAGTTAAATAATAACAGCCATAGAACAATGTATATTTTGTGCATGCTAATATTTTATGTTCTAAATTGTAGAATTGAAATAAATAAAAAAATAAATGAAGTGCTACCAACTACCTTACCAAATAGTAGGGTTAACTTTTGTCAAAACTTTTTATTGCTGAAAGTAAAATGTAAAAATTAGAAACTTATTAGGTTGGATAATAAAATTCCAATAAAAAAATGAAATAAACATATTACTCATGATAGCACATGCACCTCACGAATACAGATTATTGTAATTTGACTGAGTGTCTTGGTTACCCAATTCTATATTTACACAAAGATGCTCTTCTGTGATAAATTGCTCTCATCATACTCTAAAAATAGTGTGTAATTGTTTGCTACAGTATGCAATCATTCTAGAAAAAAAATGAGTAATTTAGATTGATTTCATATTTTTAAACGTTTCATTTAACCCTACATTGCTGATTTTGCTACAGTTAGTGTTAGGGTAGAGAAAATAAAAGACAATGTTTTACTGAAAAAAAACCTGAAAACTGTATGAGTGTTTTTATTCTTAGCATTCAATACCAGTCAAAGGCAGACTGACTCAGTAAATTCTGATTTTGTTGTGTACAACATACCTGTAATGTTTACTAAAAGCTTAATACATTTTGTGAAGATATGCCAAGTAAATTCAGAATTATAGTAAATGTTGCTATGTACAACTTCACAGAAACAGAGGTTGGTGCAAAGCACCATGGCCATTCATAGAGGGCTAAACTTTTATTTTGTCAATTGCAATATTCATTATTTTCAGCTATAAACCATAAAAAAACAGAGAAACTGTCAAAGATTTATTGGTGACCTACGACCCGACCTTTCATAATGATTTCAGGTGAGGTTAGGTAATAATATTTTTGTTAATGAAATTCTTGGTCGAGATCAACTTACTACTTCTAATAAATAAAGTTTCTATATTTAATTGGGTTTACTCGATATCCTGTCATTGAAGAAAATTTCTGTAGCTTTCACACAAATATAATTTAATACAAAAACATTTTCAGAAACAAAAGGAATGTCAAAAAATATATATATAAAAAATTCCCAGGTCTGTGGTTTGTTCCCAAGTCCTTCAAACTCCTACTAAATTTAACTGTTCTTCTGTACAACAGCAATATCTGATTATTTCCCCAAAAACCCTGTCTCACAACTTTATAAAGAGTCCCTAAAACTCCCAGAACCTCAGCTTAAGGGCCCCTTAGCTGATTTTAAAACTTCTCTATTCTCCTCAACAAAACTCTGAAAGTGGTGATTCTGTTACTATGGCAAAATGTCTCACGCTGCATACAATATATACATTATACTCTAAAGTTCCTCTCTACTTATAAAAACTTAAATTCATTACACCTGAAAATAGTTCATATTAAATCTATGCTTTATTGTATATACGATATTTTAGCCATTTAATAAAAGGGTGATTTACTGTGTTTTGTTTGATAACCGTTATCCCTCCTCAAACAATAAAAACTAATTTTTAGGCATTCAGCAAACATTTTAATTCATAATTAATGTAAAATCTAGCATCAGATCATTAAACTATCTCAAGCAATAAGCATAACTGGTCAGTTGCAGAGAACCCATATACAAATGAGTACATATATCAAGTGTGTTTCTACACTTAATAGTGTTAGTTTGAATGTACAAGTATGGTTTTGAAAGCATTACTATAAACATAAGTTCATACTTGTCAGATATTTTCTCACCTAACATTTCTTCAGCAAAGGTATTCCTAAGAATGTATTAGTCAAAGCAAACTAGTATAATATGTCAACCACACAACGTCCACCACACCCAATGCCAAAGAAACTTTTTGCTCATGTGGATAATTCTAATTTGCTGAAATGTGCTTCTCTGTTGAACTCCAAAGTTTATCTATCTATACTGTAGTTAAATCAGTGTTGTATATGGAAAGCTCTCTCTGTCAACCCAGCAGCAACAAACTTTACATAACCCTAACTTCTACTGTTCAAAAGTACCAAGCCTGACTAATCTGACCCTTACCTCAAACTAAAGTCATGGTAATCTAGTCAAAATAAAAACAATATATTTTTACAATTTGGAGTAAACGTAACGTTTTTTTAAAGATAAAATTACATTTTATGTATTTAAGGCCCAGCTATCATGCTGAATCCTGTAAAAAACAATACAATGAATTTATATCATTACTAATAAGCTTGTTAGTGGTAAATTACATGGAGAAGGGGATGCTGAGGTATGATTAAAATGTTTCTTCAATAACCATTAAAAGTATTATTAATTTGCTGTTTATCGTTTTTAATAAACACTAAGCAAGATCTACTGCATACATTTATTTAAAGTTTTTACCTTTACATGTTTTACTTCCTATAGTTGCCCCTTGGTCTCGAGCGAAAGCAGGTGAACTGGATGAGATGGCATGGTTGACTAAACCCGAGACATCAACTGTAGTAACTGCCGTCTGAAGGATGTTCGGAGGACAAGGCCTAAGTCCATTAGGAAGCGAGGCTGTGTGGACAGAAACTCTGCAGCTGGACTCCTATAATAAAAATTAAACTTAACATGTCTAAATGACAATGAAATCAAAACTAAAAGCTGTAGACTTAAAAAAAAAGTTATAATCTGTTCTATATCAGTTTCAGAGGGCTTTTATAGAGTGAAAATCTCCAGAAACAAACTATAAACTGAAAGAGGAGTATTGTAAAAATCTCCAGAAACAAACTATAAACTGAAAGAGGAGTATTGTGAAAATCTCCAGAAACAAACTATAAACTGAAAGAGGAGTATTGTGAAAATCTCCAGAAACAAACTATAAACTGAAAGAGGAGTATTGTGAAAATCTCCAGAAACAAACTATAAACTGAAAGAGGAGTATTGTGAAAATCTCCAGAAACAAACTATAAACTGAAAGAGGAATATTGTATGGAAACTTCAGACGTTGGACTACATAATTTGCTTTTGTATTTATTTCACAAAGCATTTAGAGAGTGATATTACCTGTAATTATTTGTGAAAGATTGAATTAGCCCATGTAAGCATTAACTTAACACCTTTAATGAATTATTTATGCTGTAAGTTAACACACTTTTCTGCTATCATTGGCTCCATGAACTATTGGAGAAAAAGTTTATTTATAACAATTTCAAATTATAACATGTATAAAAATATTATATACTACATTGTTTCTTATGTTTCACATAGCAGTAAAAACCCATGTATGTTACTTTGGTAAACTAAATATACTAACAGCATAAAATGATTCTTTTATAGTCAAACTATTGATATACTATCTTAATCCTTTTGCTGTGTAATTCTGACACATGTGAATCAACATTTATATCCACCGACTATGAAATTCAGGTTTACCCCACGGCTATAAAAAAAAAAAGTTTTCCTCAACTGTGACATGCGAGAATACCTCCCTGTACTTGAAACAATCACCAAACCTGCACGCATGATGCTGTCTGTGTTCTACGCTGTAAAACCTGGATGTTTATATGCCTCAGCTGACTGACCACGTGGTGACGCACGCTTTAACTCTGTGTTTTGGAGCTGATTTTATTGCTTTATAGGTGAGTTACTTATGTGTTACATTTGTTATACTTATCAGTGACTTTCAGGAATTATAGTATATATTCTCATACATGTTAATATACGATAGAGGTTTTGAAATTCAATGAAATAAGGCATTTCTATGTGGATCACTGACACTTTTTTAGTAATCAGCCTGTGCAGTGAAATGGTTAAGTAACTTATATTTTTCAGTGATACCTAGGTAAATGTAGTATAATTTAATTATATTCCAAGCTTTCATGGCTGTGTTGCATACAAAATTTCAACTCTGTGTTAATAATTCAACAGTTGCTTGATTACCCATATAAAGGATCCTTGCATAATGAAATAATGAGTTCAAATATTTATTTTTGGTACTTAATGATAAGGTAAAGGAAGTTTAATGGTATTTGGCAAAGATTCTACACACAATTTTACACTGCTGAATAATTCACTAAGTAGATCCATGGTTAGGAATAAATGAAATTAATATTAATTACATTTTGCTTAATTTTACTGGAGTCTGTGTGAAAAATGAAAATTTTTAATTAGCAAATTAAAAGGTAAAATGATACATTAATAGACTTGTTTAAATTTCTCTGAAAGCAACTATATCTAGTGTGCTATTTATAAAATGTAAAAGTTTCATTTAAACATTTAAAGAATGAACAGGTTATTAAGGTATCAGTTACTAACATCCTGTCTTAACAAGTAAACTGTTTACCCAAAACAGTGGTTCCAAACCTGTGATACACATATCTCCACAAATGCATAAGAAACCTTTAAAAAACATTAAAAAGAAAATAAACCCCATGCCTCAAAATTGAAGGGAAGTGTTGTTTAGTTACCAAAGTATTACAATAGCCAGCATTAAATGTTTGTGAATTGTTCATTCACCACTGACTCAAACATCTGACTGTGGGTATGCAGCATAAGAAGATTGGAAACCACTTTACTAAAATATTAACAGTAATGTGCCCTAATAATTACCCACAGTTTAAACTTAGCTCTAATATTTTTGAAAATTAATTCTTCAAGTAGAGGAATAATCCTAAACTTATCTTTAAGCTGATAATATGCCTTCAGTATATTGGATACAAAATTATTTAACTAATTATATTGTCATGATATAAAAGACAGTTTAGTGTAGATATTATTATTAATTTATTTATTTTGTAAGAGAATATTTTATGATTGTTTAGTTTAGTTCATAACAAGAGAGTTAGATGCAATTATTTTGAAGTAAATGTTATGACAAGTTTAGTTACGTAACTTGGTAAAAGTTGTACCTTGTGTTTGTAACCCATTGATGTCGATATTATCGAACATCACGTGCAATTTATTGGTGTTGAGCAGATGATTAAGTAATAAACACAAATAGTATGAGATGAGCAGGAAAAGTATACAGACAGAAAAATACAGAACAGAAGAGAAGTAAAGTTATGAGAAGGAATTTGACCAAAGAAAAGTTAAATGCATACGAGTGAAAGGCTTAGTAATTAATATAGGCCTACCAGTTGATATATTAGAGTGGGACTAATGGTGTTGAAAGAGATAAGAAGAATAGTTTATTTCGACAAATAGAGTTCTAAAGTAACTGAACTAGCCTCAGTTGACTTTGACAAATAGACAGACGATTCTCAGAAATACAAAGAGATAAAAAGGAGCAGATGACTTACGAAGTATAGGATAAAACCGTGATAACTCAACAATTAAGTAAGAGGACTATAATCGGATAATTTGGCGGTAGTAATAGAGAAAAATAGTTCGGCTTGTCAACTGAAATTCTAAAGCAATTGAATAGGCCTAAGTGGACTTTTGACAACAAGAAGAGAACTATATAGTGACTATGATATGCTTATGATCTCTATAGTGTAAAGAATTTGTTGTACATACGTTTAACTTATTTGAATACATATAGATATATTATTTTGTTCATTTATCTTTGCATTTATTGCCATCAAGCCACAGACAACTACTGTAGAAGAATCCTTAGCCCAATACCCATATTATTCAACCTACTTACTAAATACTACTACTACTACTATATATAATATTAAGAAGTATAAGCCTCCATTATTTTGACATATATAAAGTAGGAGCTATGAACGTATTAACAGGGAAATGGTATATGCAAAAAGTTAAATCACAACATATACCCTAAAACAATTTTAGATTTAACAAAGAACAGACAGTATTTATTGTTTTATCTCATGAAGCTTTTAACACCCATCACTAATTGTGTAACTAACGCTTTACAAAACCATAGTTCTTCAATTGTATGCATTTTGTTGGATTCAAAATACAACACTTAGATCTACTACACTTACATAACAAACCACACATCAGTATAAAAACTGGAACAAATGTGCTTGTATGTAAAACTAATGAGATTCTTCAGTCATAAAACTTTATTTGTGAAGTTGTGTTTTGAAGCAAAAGAAATTTTGTAGTTAATGAAAATAATGAATATAAAACAAGTTATATACCACCACTGGACAATTCAACCATGGAACAATATACATGTACAACAGCCTAACAAAAATGTAAGTATATATGTCAGAATAACATCACATTAAAAGAGAGAGATTCACAGCTAGTCCAGAAACAATACTGTCTACAAAAATGCTTGATATCAATATAAAATTCAATAATCTATCATTCTAATAGTAAAATTATACTTTGGATCACTAAATTAGTAACATGAAAAGTTTAAACTGCAAATAATGTAATCATCAAGAGAGTTCTGTGTCTGGTGATGATTTGATACTACGGGTCGAAACATCGTAATTATTAAAATCAGAACTACCGTAAAACTTGTTATTGTATTTTTGAATTAATTATTTAGTTCAGCCAGTGTATAGAGGTTATAATACCATTTTATAGGTTATTGCTTAGGCTACATTTAAAGTATTGTGTTCAGTCTTTGGCTCCTTACCTTAGGAAGGACAGTGAATTGTTGAAAAGGGTTACTAAGATGATAACTGGGATGGAGAGGTTATCATACCAGGGTAGGTTAACAACTCTGAAATTGTTCTCTCTTGAAAAAACAAGAGTTAGAGGGGATCTGATTGAAGTGTGTAAGATTGCTAAGGGAATTGATAGTGTTTATGCATTATCTTTTTTCATATTTAATGGTGAGAATGGTAAGATTAGGGGACACAAGTATAAATTTTGGCAGGGTAGGAGTCATCTTCAACTAAGTCAGCTTTATTTTTCTAACAGAATGGTTGGCCTTTGAAACAGGTTGCCTTCAGATGTGGTGGATGCAGTTAGTTTGAGAGTTCAAGGAAAAACTTGAAAAATACTTGAATGACAAGGGCTGCCCAGATGAATCAATAGGTCCCTTGTTGTCCTTTAATGTTATGTTATAATCATTTACCATTCACTTATAAACACAAGCATTAATTTCAAATTTTTGGGCTTACAATTTACAAAACATAACTTTAGTTATATGTAATTTTCTTTGTCTTCAAATGTCAAATTGGCAGTTTTGAATTTTATATTATTTTCAATAAATATCTTTCTGTATCTTGTAAAAATCACTTGTGCTCTATTTTCAGTTTTGAGTGACATCAACACATTTGTCAAATGAATTCTAATGAACTTATTTGTTCTTATGTATAAAAGTACTGCAAATCTAGATACAAACAGAGTGAAAAAAGGAAAAAAATAAATATAACTTAAAGCTTAATACTAAAAGCAATGAAGCAAAAAGAAACTTTGCTCTCCAAAACAAGTAAAATAACAACATGAAAGTATACAACTACACTAGAGAGTTCTATACATGTATTATTATACATCTGACAACATTTAGAACACTTACTGGTCTTGAGTTAACTGAGGAGGTGACAGAAACTGCATGGTTGCCACTTGTGCTACCAAGTTCTCCTAGCGTAGCAAAGAATCCTCCCCCTGATGTACCCTTGATGAGCAACCCCACACCCATAGGTTGTGAGACAGCTGTGTGGTTAGTAGATGTAGCAGTACTTGCTACAGACTTGCACAGAGAAGATTTTCTATTTTTCGTTCTAGATTTGGCACTACTGGAAGAGGAGTTGGTACTAATGGCTCTACTTCCACCTGAAGATGATGTCCTTTTCTGGCTTCCAATAGACTGACTATTCACTAGTCCCAAATGGTCTGATATTGATGTCTCATGAAGATTTTGTATTTGAGAAAGTTGGCCAATAAGTCCTGCACCCCCCAATGTTATTCCAAGACCACCACCAGGAGTTGCTAATAATTTAGGACCAGAACCAGCAAATCTACCTACTGTAACAGAGTGTAAAAGTGCATTGGTAACTGGAATTTGACCATTGATAATGTCTACTCCTGTGACCATTATACTCCCTTCTTTTCTAGCACTAGATGATGTGACTGTGCTGTGTAAACTTGATGACTGGCTTGTAAAGCCACTTGAAGATGCCATGAAACTGTTTCTACCACTAGTAGGAGGAGATGCAGCTTGTATCCTGGACAGAGTACCAAAGTTTTCACCCAAACTAAATGGAAATGACAAAGGAAACGTACTTCCAGCATTCACTGTTACAGAACCAACAGAAGAATGTACAGTAGGTAATGCCATACTTCTCACATTTTTGTTATTTAGAACATTGAGTCGAGAAAATGTTTCACCATGTTCTTTCTTCTTGGCAGCATTTCCAGCCAGTGTGGAGTGTGCATTACTTCCTAAAAGAGTTGGTTTACTCTCCTTCATTTTCACAGCTTTACTCACACCAAGCTTTGATTTCATTGGCCTGTGTGTAGAATTGCTTGTTGATAATTTTGGAGATGTTGTCTTGGCAACTGTTGTAAAGGCAACAGAATGAGGGAAAGTTAATGAAAGTGTTGTTACAAAAGCATTGTTCGTAGAATTAACTGACAAGCCAGATGGTGATGGTGAAGAGGAAGCATCAGGACAGGTAAAATAGTAAGGATCACTCGGGTCAGTAGGTTCTGGAACTGGAGGAAGCCTTGACTCTACACACAGTTTCCTTTACAGAAAATTGTCACAAGTTAATCAGGCATACCATAAAATATAAAAAATAATTTAATTCTAAAAAAATGTTAGTTATAAAAACAAACAGACATTAAGTATAATAGTAAGAGTTATATACAAAATCAAAGTAAGAAAAAATATATACCAATACTTCAAAGTTTGTTTTATATCTATAATAAGTTTCTCAGGTCCATTAGATCTATTATATGCAAGTTATGAGGGTTGATACACATCCATGCAACAGATACCAAAATGTGCATATGAAACATTTTTACACCGCTGTATTCGTCTCTAGTAATATATTATTCAAGTAACAGAAAACACTTTTTCTTTTGTCTTGAGTGAGGTCAAAAAATAACACTGCAAAAGAATAATAAGTTAACATTTTGCACATACAATTTGATCTTCACACAAAATATCACAAATGAGAACAATGTAACTACAACATGGTGAAGTATTAAAATACAAAAAGACTGTTAAAAATGCTGCAAGGTAAAAAAACAAAAAAAACAACAAAAAATTATATTTGGCCAAACAACAATCACCACCACTTGATGAATATCGTTTGGTTTAAACGTAGACTATGTAATTATTTTTCCTCTTAAAGAAATTAACAAATCCTTTTAATAAACTAAAATATTACTAACCCATCTTAATCATACATCTCTTTCCATGTATTATATCTTATGAAATCTCACTATAATCAGCTAGAGTACACGAATTTATCCTTAAAGAAAATTTGAGAACGTTATATAGAGTAACAACTATCAACAAAAATGCAGAAATGTATCAACAGAATGTAATTATTCATAACCAACCATGCTTAAATTTTATGACTCTTCAAGGCTTTAATTAGGAAAACAAAAATGATCAAAATCTCTCCCTCAAAGTAGAATTCTAACTCAATCCTTCTGGCCCGGTTTTCATAGAAAGAATGCCTCTCAAATAAAGTCCTGATCATTGCTAATCTCAAATGATAATATAAACAAAAAGACTAAAGCAACTCCAAATATCACTTCTGTGAAAACCCGAAACATAAGATCAAGTGATTACACAATACTATATACTACAACACAGCAGCAACATTACTTTTTTGTATCAAATAACATCACATTTAAAGAGAGTAATTACAAGGTTAAACTCTCTAACCTAAGTAAGTCTTTAGAAAATTTTCATCATAAAAGATGTCAATTATATGAAGGAGCATTTCCAAGAGAGACACATGTTCAAGAAAATATCCGTACATGAAATTTACTCATTAAAAATATTAGTATATGATTTATCAAAAAGTTACAAAACAACCAAATAGGAAGCACAAAAAACACAAAGAAGATTCTTTCACCATGGAACACATTTTTTTATAGTTTAAGAAAATGCTCCAAGCTTAAACAACAACAAAAAACTCAATTCAAAACATGCAGAGGGGCTGTAAGCTGAGTTCTATGCAAAGTAACATTTGAGTCTTTCTCCTCAACCCTTCCCATACCAGAAGGGGTGTCACTGATATCCTGATTTTTTTCTTTCTCACTGTGGAAATACTTAAACAAATTGTTTGAAACTTAGTAGATATATTTTAAATGGTATATAGTCTCTGCTTTAGAAATATTCATATGAATTGAATTTGTATTTTAATCATTTTTTACATTGTGAAATTTCAAGTTTTCTCAAGACATTGTTTTTGAAATAAAAAAAATCTGAATTTCAATTCTTTTTATTATATATCAGAAAGTTTTATTTCATATATCTAATCAGTTTCAGCTAGTTTCAACTTCCTTTTGTATTTCTTTTACTACTTTATGTGCAAATTGAAGCAGTTAACACTTTTGGTTATAAATCACACAAGACAAAGCAAAAACCAACAGATTTAACAAATACCAGTACCTCACCTCTCAAAATGAAGTCACAACTTCTTTAACAAGCACTATATCATAATTTTTGTAAGCAATATTAATTAGTGGTCAAGATCAATATATATTTAATGAATAAACAATTGGCTCTTGACTATTCAGAGTAATGGAGGAGAAATGGGGCGTGGATTACACAAACATATGAAAAACCTATACATATGCATGTATTCCAAAAAAATGGAAGAATTGAGAAATGGATTTTTGCATAATACATATTAAAAAGTTATACATATATATCTTACAATATGACAGGCTTTACTAAAATCGTTGAGTCTTTTTCTATTTGTTTGTTTGACATACTTTTTATTTAATTGCAGAAAACAGCTGCAATATATTTTACTGTTATACCTTGTTCACTCCTTTCAATAATCTTGAGTTTTTGTTGTGTTATCAATATAATTCGTTTTGTTTGACATTTTGTTCTTAACAGTAAAAAAAAAACATGACGTGTAACACTAAAAAATGATAAAATAACAAAATGAAAAAATGGACAATAAAATGAACAGCAAACTAAATGAATAGGAACTGTGGCAAAAGCAGTTTAAAACTACACTGAAATATAACAGCTTGTTGGATTTCCTGGACTACAGCATGGCTAAACTGGAAACAGGATAATCTGTCCATAAATAATTGAGAGTCAACTGTAGTTTCTTTTCAATAAATCCCACATTAATTGTGGTGTATATGTTTTGACTATGATAAACTTAATATATTTAATAAAATAGGAATTACATCATCTGAGTGGCTTGCTACTGCTACCATTCTCACTAAACCTGACTGAACTTAATTGATGCCTTATCGTAGAAGAATATTATTTCAGTTTTCCAACAAATATGATTTTAAAAGATTCCAAGAAAAAGAAACAATAGAAAAAAAAATTCACAAGTCTTTGGTACATTCCTAAGTATTGCAAGTTTTGCATTAGAATCCTATATTAACTCCTACACGAGTTCCAAGTAGCTAATATTTTGACAAGCCAGAAAATACTTTTAAAACTACTTCAGTTACATTATATTGACATACGTAGATTAAAATCTATTATTTTACATCACTTTTAGTCGTTTATAACAAGAACTCAAAATTGGTCATGTGCACCTTTTCTGATAAAATGACAGGCTTCTTACAGTGTAGAAATGAATTCTGCTGTTAAACTCTCATATTATGATATTAATTTTAAAAGCATAGAAAATTAAAATTATACTTCAATATGTGAAACTATAGGTTACATAAGCACTTACTTCAATGGTGGAGGGTGTCCACTTCGTTCTGTACACACAGCAGCCCTGAATGCTGCCCTCTGGAGGTCCCACCGACGATCTAGCAGAAACATTCCATTACCTAGTTGCCTCAACCCAAATGTACAAACCTGAAGAAAAAAAGATTAATGATGATATCATACGTTAAAGTGATTTCTTTTACACTATAAATCTCGCACAAACATCACAATAGCAGAGGAAAGACTTTTGATCCTTTTAAACAAAAAAATATTCTATATAAACACTATTTGCAACAACATTCAAGTTGCACATACATACACTATATTGTGGCTTTTCTTCTCAGAACAGACATCGGTCTGTATTTTTTTTCATAGTGCACATGCACAGTGAACTAATTTACATCACTATATGCCCAAAACTAGTAGATTTGAACACTGGGCAAGTTACATTATCTTATATTTTATTGGACAAGTAATTTTCTACCAACCAGTGTTTGAATTGTAGCAAAATTCCATTCTGGCACATTTTTTACAATAAATAAAAATCCTTTTATAGCACAATACATTTGAATATGATCACACACACAAAAATGCATCAATAAAAATCAGTGTCATCTCATTCTGGGATGTGACAGCACATTCAAACTGCCTGAACATAAAACAGAATGAAACATTAGGTATATTTTTGTGGAGTTATTGTATGTGTATGCGAAATGTTTTCTATAGATGAGATTCAACTTACAATTTCTTTAAGCTCAATAAACACCAGATGTGAATGGTGCAAATAAATAAATAAACAATTCTATTCTTATAAATGAAGTACTACACACCATTGGTGAAGCAAATGGCAAATCCATACTGTATATAGTTTTCATTGTTTGCTATGTTACACCTGAAGTGCATTGGATTATTATTATTTACACTCTTGGAGCACTACAGCACAGATTGATCAGCTATCATTCTTGTGATAGTAACGGTGGATAAAACATTGAAAAAATGTCTTCCAAACAGAAACCATAGTTTTAAGAAATACTTTTAATTTTAGTTTTCATTAACTAAAGAAACACTGGTAGAAGTTGTTATTTTTAGTTAATTTTAACTGTTGTTGAAATGATAGTGTGTTACAACAGTTCTTTTCTTTGGATTCAAGCACTACTACCAACTATACTTATAATCAGTTTGTGTAGCTTACAAGGATTTAAAGTTTAGTTAACAGTATGTCAATAAACAGTGAACACAGATTTACATGTATTTACAATAAAAACGAAACTGGATTTTCTCAGTGACTACAATGACAGGTAATTTTCTTAAAGTAACTTATGTGTTCTTCCTCAACATGGAATAGCATGGACAGTTTAAAAATTAAACTACTCTGAAGCCTCTGAATTTTTCAATCATTTAAGATGCTAGCTATTTGGTTACAACTTAGGGTCAAAAATAAAACTGATAATGAAAAAAAACCAGGTACCATTATATTTTCAATGTGTGTGTGTATTTAATACTGAATGTATGATTTTTCTCTCCCATCTCCTCATACACCAACAGACTTCATCAATTTCACACCTCACTGTGAAAAATCAGACAGTAAGCTTTTAAATTTATTCTACTGTTGTAATGTAGTTTTTACAATAGCAACCATTATGATCATTAATTGTTCATTTCAATGAAGTTTTGAGATCAGCTATTAAAAAGAGTCCACTGTCCCAAAACCTCCAGACAGTTAAAATATGCTCCCCAACTAGAAAGGAAAGCATCAATAAAAAGGTGATAATCAAGACAAGGTGGAGGAAGAAAAAGCTCCATGGTAGTATTGGTCCAATCCAGTCACCAGGCAAAGTAAGAGGAGTATCCAAGGGATTCCAAACAAAGCTCCATTAGTCGATTAAAGCACACTGAAGATGGCGCATGTGGGCACAACCAAGAGGAATGAAGGCTTCGAGAGAAGCCCATGTCCCCAAAAGAGATAGAACCTCTCGTGCAGTAGGAGAGGGTGAGGAGGAGACCTTGCAAACAAGACATTCCATATATCTCAGCCAAAGTGGAGAAAGCTGGGCCTAACTGAGTAGTGAATTGAAAAACACACCAAGATGAACAAAATGAAGGAAATGTCAGTATGTCGGGAAGATAGAAGTAAGGAGGTATGCATCCAACACATTGACATTTATCATTCACAGACCTGGAGTGAAATCCCAATGGAGAGTTAAAGATGACTCCATGATGAACTTGGGAATGACAAGGAAGTGATTCAGAGATGACAAATCAATCGCTGGGAGCAACAAATAAGAATAAAACCCTGGACAAGAAGGATCTCCTCGTTCAATGGCACTCTTGAAAATTAAATCCCAAACCACCTCCAACAAACACTGGCATGAAATGGGATCCTGTGGAGGGGAGAAGGAAATTGGATGGGGGAGACAACCTTCAAAACCCATGGAACAACTGTAAACTACCTCCAAACATGGGCAAAGTAGAAGGGTGTGGCCTCCACTGGCCCTGACCCGAGTCACCAACACGAAATGCCCCTAAAACGATGACAGGCAGCCACTGAGACGGGAACACGTAAGTAGGACATACAAGAAGCCAGTGAGGAAAGGGAGTTGCATAGATGGGCTGATTCAACCCTGGACTCCAAACATATCTTCATGGAAAAATGGTGCCATGTGCAAATCCCACAAAGAAGAAGCGAGTAAATGAACCCTGGATAAAAGAGCATCCTGACCTAAAATATCCCAACAGCATATTAGCCAAGTCTGTAAATCCAGGGCTGAAGAGGAGAGGCATGCCACGTAGCAAATAGGAGACTACGAGAATCATCAGAAATTCCCTCAGGAGACTGATGAACAGCCTCCACCAAAAGATGAAGGGAGGATAAGGCACAAAGAATAGTGGACATCATAAGACGAGGATGGGAAAATTGAGGTTGGGAAAAAGAAACCAAAGCATTAGGGTCTGAACCCCACAAAGAAATAAGATATTCCAAACATTGGGAGCCTAAATATGGGTAGTTGGCATGATGAAAAGCAAAAGCCTGGTCATTCAATTTATGAGGAGGATGAAACATACTGAACCCCAATCGCAACTGTTCCCCAAAACAACTTGTGTGAACCCCAGTACATCCGGGTGAAGGAGGAAAACGAGATATTGACCCAAAGATTTGTCCCCAAGGAGAGCATGGATGCTTAGAATGTACTGATAGAATTTGTTCTAACCTGTATAAAGAATATCTAAAGAGTAATACTAAAAATAAGTGGTGAGTAAAAGACATCTCAAAAACACCATAAAGACCCCAAAACTGATTTATCAATAATTTGTGAGCATCATACATTCAATACAATAAAATACTTTGAACAAACGAAACCAACAGTTCATAAAATAGATTGATTTAACAGTATTGTTCACTATAACATATGTCATGATATTCTAATGCCATCTGTCTAATGCATATCAAGATTAGTAGCACAAAGCTATAAAAATATATATTAAATATGAAGTTTACAGAGTGCAATATGATTTATAAAACTTCCAGAAGTATACAATTTTTAAAATGTAAGTAACTTATTGACATTTTTTCCATGCAGAAATCTACTGATATTGTTTATCATAAAAGTCATTCTTTATTTATAAACTTTTGGCTTTTATGTTTCTCCCATAAACTCAAAACAAAAATTGGGCCATTAGACCCTCCACCCTCAAATTCACATATTATGAACACTTATTGCTAATTCTGTTGTATTTCAGGCAATGTTTTTAAATCACACTGATAACTGTGGTAGATTTGTTTTGAATTCTTGCAAAGTTAGACTGATTCAGTCATATTCAATTCTACAAAAAGATGAATGTGGTTATAAAAACCAAAAGTAGTTTTTTAAACAGAACGTACTTTAGTTGATTTCTGGCCTTTAAAAATACTTCATCCAAGCAAAATGAAATTAAAATAAAACCATCTCCAAAACCCAATATAAAAATCATAAATTATTCACAACCATTAGAACTCCAATTCTATACTTAGGTGACACAACAGAATTATGTATCTAAGCCACACTAATCAATTCTACAAAAAGATGAATGTGGTTATAAAGCCAAAAGCATCGTGTAAACAGATTTTACATCGTTGATTTAGTGATCATGTAAATGCATTTTAGACACAAAGTAAGTTTTGTTGTATTACACATAGTTTCATTGTCCTTTGTTGGAGGTTTGCCATGGCCAACTCTGTATGTTACATTACAGGGGAAGTTTTAGAAAAATAACATTATTTTCATAAATAGTTTTAGCTGTAAAAATACTGTTGTGGTATTTAACTCTAACATAAAAGTAGCAAGGTATAAAAAAGGTGGATTACAGGTGTAACACACTACAGTTTTTAACCCAATACTGATGACTAAAGTCTACATTAAATCATTACTAAGTTACAATGTACTGTAACCCCTATAAACTGAACCGCTAGAAACTACTTACGGCAGATGGACGAGGATGATGCCTGATGAATGGATCATCTGGTACTGATGACTAAAGTCTACATTAAATCATTACTAAGTTACAATGTACTGTAACCCCTATAAAATGAACCACTAGAAACTACTTACGGCAGATGGCCGAGGATGATGCCTGATGAATGGAACATCTGGTACTGATGACTTAGTGTCTCCTAGTTTTCCCTGGTTGGCTGGTTTAACTTCCTCCTGGTTACAAAGAAACGTTGTTGAACTAGGCCTTCCTGGGAAACTGCTCATAACTGTGGATGACCTACAGTTTATAGATAAATCAGATTTCTCTTTTAAGCAATTCAGAATAATTAACTTTTTTTTTGAGAAGTTACGTAAAACAAGAGTGTTTCATTCTGTGAATTTTAATATAAATCACTTAACACACAAACAATGTAAACTACATCTGTAGAGTATTGTTGTAACACTTCTTTTATTGTTGGCTACCTGGTGAAATTAATGCAACCTCTAACCCACATAACAATAACAAATTAGTTTTATTTCTTCCTTAACCCGATGACTACCGGTACTAACTTTCTTAGCAGGCAATGCAAATGTGTATTTGTGAATTGAAAAAATGATAGAGAACTTATCT